AAAGTTATCCAAAACCAAACGAGTTCTCGGGAGTTAACCCAAATTCCGCGAGTTCGTTTGCAGTCCAGTCACCAAACTATATAACGAAGAGAGAAAAAAAAAAAAAAAAAAAAAAAAAAAAAAAAAAAAAAAAAAAAAAAAAAAAAAAAAAAACAACAAGCAATTAATTTCGAGCTTAAAGACTTTTAACATTCAATATGTTTGAAAAATGGAATAGTATTGACAAGAATACTTACCAAAGCATTGAAGTCCAGATTTTCGGAATCAAAATAAAATTCAGCCATGATGAGGGATGAAATCCAATAAAGTTGAAATAACTAGTTAGTTCAATGAGCTCCAAATGTGGAATAAAATTCAAAATCCCCGCGCTGTATGAATTGGATTGGTAAACAAAAGACTTGTCCAATGTCCAAACTCGTCTAACAGTACCCTAATACGTCAATTGGTCGTCATGGTAACCTCAAACAACAGCCCACCACTAGCCCGCCACTAGCCCGCCACTAGCCCACCCAAAATCCGGCCCGTGCGCTACATACTATACTACTTTCTCCACAGTAGACCCTTTTCGAGTTTCAAATTACCCTGTGTTTCTTGATTATAGACTCATTTACTCAGGCGTAGCCTCGAATCAGTGTCTAGTTACTCGCAAATACCAACAGTAAAGTAAAAGAATGCACAACTTCAACAAAACAAACACTTTGGACCTTGACCGGAACATATGAATATTCTTCACAAAATCGAGGCTAAGCCTGAGTAAAAGAGTCTGTAATCAAGAAACACAGCGGTAGTTTGGAACTAGAAAAGGGTCTATTCTCCTAAGCTGAAATACAGTAAATATTGCTGTATCCCAAGGACACGTACTTCTGACTTGAACTTCAGTGTTTTCAAAATGACAAGTTATCTTATATGGACATCTAAAATGAAGGTGGATTGGAGTTGTTTACGACAAGGATTTTCGATTTTAAACACTGTTGAAATCACTGACTCAAAAGTTCAAAAACTTTAAGCATGAGAGAAAATTTACTGTTGGAATCAGTTGTTTACCAGTAAAAGGAAGAGGTTTTAAGTAGTATTTAAAAAACGAGTAGGAGTGTATTATCAGGTATAAAAGCACGAGGCGTAGCCGAGTGCTTTTAGACCTGATAAAACACGATCTACGAGCTTTTTAAATTGCTTCAAAAACTCATTAATAATTCATAAGCCGTTGGTCCAATTGGAACCACCATACACGTCACGTGCATTGACCTTTATACCCGATAAAATCCTCTTCATTAGTATTCTTTATATAAAGAACATTAATAAGAACGACTATTATCAGAGATAAAGGTATATCCAAATTTAGATGAAGACTTAGAGCCTCATCAAGGTCTGTCTCACATATACGATCACCGACGACCCACGAAATCTAATTGATAAGCAATCCTGTCTTGACACTAGCATGCTGTCTTTAAAATGTGGAAGCCTTTATTGGGAATGAYTGCACATGATAGTGACGTATAAACCTCAACTGCGCATGACAGGTACATACGAACTGCTATCGATGTATAAAAGTCCATGCTCGTGACGTGTATGGTGGCTCCAGTTGAAATAAAATCTTATAAATTGTTCACGAGCTTTTGAAGATAGCTGAAAACACTCAAGCTGCTCGGAATAGAAGAATTAAACATAAAGGCACAAATACGGCGATCTGAGCATCTGGCGGAAAAAAATCGCTAGTAAAATGTCCCTCAAGCAGGTAAAATAATCACTTTTTTATTAGTTTGAATACTAAACTTGATTCCTTTTTTGTATTTGGCCGATATTGTGATTGTATTTCTATTGTTTGTTGGGGACTTTAGCAGTTGAAAAGTTATGATAAAATACCTGAACGTCGAGGCGAACGAATRCTCAAGGTGCAAACTATGAAAGAAAGATCTAGTTTTAATTTTAGTTTTAATGCAACGCTCACTCCCCCTACGTGACGACACTAATATCGGCTACGTAGAAGACTAGGACAAAGGCATCTTAAGACTGGGCTGCCACAGGTATCCCAGTTTAAATTCCTAAATTTACTTGAGTTATTGATTTTATAGCATATAAAGACTCGTGTACTCAAATCGTACATAAGCGAAATATCTCTGGCCATATAATTATACGCATTTGGTCTTTTTTTTATATCGACTACATTACAAAATACATCAGAATTTATTGTGATTTCCTGCAATACTATCTAGTGTCAGCAGAAGAACATGAGCTAATACAGTTCACATTTTTCCATTTCCATTTTCCATTTCACAACAATTTATCGTTTCGTTTTCAGTGATATCTTGGTCTCAGCTTCTATGTTCTTTTTTGAACCCAAGAGGGTTTTTTGCAATTAGGCGTATATAGAATATAAATTGCAAAATATAGATATAGAGATAAATATAGGGTTTGAGGCTTTTTATTTCACATAATAAGGATATAAGCATCCTCACATATATTTGAAATTCACAGACACCCCAGAGCATGGGCTACCTGTGAATAGACTGTGAGATATAGATTAGTTAGTCAACAATTTTAACGTGCCATTCATTATTACCAATGGCATTGCAACTTTAGAGTACATGYTAGATGATTGAATCAGTTTTGTATTGTAATGAGTAGCATTGCAGGCTGTTACTAGGTTAAATCAGGTTCTTCATTCATACTCTTCTTTATCCTCAACAGGATGGTAGTCAACCACTGATCAAGTCTAGATATACTGTCATATTCCTGAACCTAAAACAAGAAAACAAGAAAAAGAAAACATTTAAATTTAGATTTAGCTAGTGTCACGTGTTCATCTTTCAACCAATTAGGGTTTTGCTGTATCGGAGAACATTATCTTGACCTCTAATTTAAAAAATAAATAATTATCTAATTTTTCCGACTTTATTTTCACCATTCACTTTAATCTAAATTGGTTTCCCTGTGTTTAAATTTAAAAGATTTATTTATTTTTATTAAAAATTACGTTCGAAATTTGAAAACGTTTTTCAAAATCTTCACTATTTGGATTTTCATTTCTTGTAGCAGTTACAATGCTCTTTTTGTTTGGCTTTTTTGCTAAAGTKTACAAGCAATTCTCCTTGCTTGTTTAACAAATACCATAAACCAGTTGTATGCCAGCCTATACAGAACCGTCATTACCTGTTAAAACTGGACCAATCAGATAGCCCCATGTCGCGTTTTTCAAACCGCATATATCAAATTTGTATAGGTGAATTTGACGACAGACGCGTGCTCTTTTTGTAATCAATTAAGCAATGGTCAATGCTTAGCGTGCGTAAATCTATTGATGGTGCACGCGGATAGTTGGAAAGAGCACGATGGTAGCTAGAGTTGCACGAGGCAGAGTGCAACTCTAGCTACCAGAACAACTTTACACGATAAAAACTGTTTATTTCGCTCTGATCAAAACACAGATTCTCCTAAGATGCGAGCACGATACTTTACGAGCTAAATTTGAAATCAGTCAAGTCTCGTGTTCGGAGCAAATAAAGCTCAATTTGTATTTTAAACTTCATTTTCAAAACTTTTCCCGAAGCAGTTCCTAAACGTATCCTTAAAAATTTTCATTCACAAGAAAGTTTTAAAGTAAATTTGACTGAAGAGAAGTCGATTTAGCGATTTTCGTTGGCACTTGGCTGCATCACAAATTATCTGAACATTTTGAACCGTAAATTTTTCGAAAACTGAGTCGAAAGGATGCATCAGTGGCTTAACTTGGAAATCAGTAATTATCGTGGTGTTTTGCTGGACTACTGTGGTGACCTGTAAGGCGGATTGAGCAAGACTTCTTGATTTCGCTGTAGTGAGCTGGCCGTTGGAAGGGCGAGTTTTTTACTTAAGCCAAACTTGAGCTAAAACAAATACGCTATAAACTTTTTATTGAAAGGAAATCAATAGTTATATTTTACCTTTAAATGTACTGAGAAAGGTAGACCAATTAGTAGTCTTTTTAGTTTTATCTGAATGCTGGCAATTTTCACCGAATTTTTACCAAATTGACGTCACAAGCGTGCTCCAAAGGAGTGTTCCATACATTTTTTTCTTCATAGGTGGCGAACCAATGAGAGCGCGCGTTATATCTTAGTTATGCTATAAAACCTTTTTTTTCCCTGGAAGCGACGGCTCATGAGTTCAATAGTTTTTTTCGTGTCCTACAGCTCCAGTCGTGTTTCATCAGAGAACAGAACATAGCTAAGCCTGATCTATTTGTTAAATAAACTCTGTCACACATCTCTTGGATTTGTTTAATTTGTTGAATTCAAAAAGTTCCCTCGCTGATTTATACCTAATAATCTTCAGACAAAGGGAACAAACACTATCTTTTTCAACTATCAACTATCTTTTTCTTTCTTTTTCCCCCATTTTTGCCATCTTTAAGTACTGTTGTTACAGTGTAGCACTAGAACCATGAATACTTCAAGGTTTAGTCTACATATAGGCGCTTTGGGGTAGTGGCTCTTTGGGGAGGGGGACTCGCCCCCTCCCTCCTCTCCCCCCCCACCCTCCTCTCTTCCCCCTTCCCAAATTGTGTATCATTTTGAATGACGGTTTTTTTTTTGTCATTATAAATGTATTATTAGCATGTGTAAAAATAGACCCAAGTTATTTATCTTTTCAATGTAATATTTGTAAATAGGCTACTTGACTCGATTAGTTGTTTGACTACTTCAGGTAACCTAACACCTTCTTCTTTTTTTCTATTATTATCTGTAAAATGTAATAAGCATATCTTAATGTGGTGTAAATAAACTGATCTCTTTTTTTCTATTATTATCTGTAAAATGTAATAAGCATATCTTAATGTTGTGTAAATAAACTGATCTCTTTTTTTCTATTATTATCTGCAAAATGTAATAAGCATATCTTAATGTGGTGTAAATTAGCTGATCTCTTTTTTTCTATTATTATCTGCAAAATGTAATAAGCATATCTTAATGTGGTGTAAATTTCTGTATTATGGAATGTGTGCACTTTGTGCCCCCAGTTTAGGTTTGTTGTGATAGAACATAGATAGGGCATTTTATCATAGTACATCAGTTTCTAACTGTTTAAGAAAGGTTTTGAGTGTTAACCCAAAACGAAAATTGGTATTAAAACTCATACGAAAGTCTAGTTTTTGGCGCTTTTTGCCATTATTGCTCATTATTGAAAAAAAATGTCCTCTTAATACTAATTTAGGAACTGCCTAAAAGCGTAGGCACAGGGATCCCAATCTAGATAAACTAAAAGGAGAAAATAATTAGATCGGGGAAAAAATCTTTAATTATTATTTTTTATTCGAGATGAAGATAATGTCACCCATAATGAAAACCATGCACTGAAATGAAATCGAAATGCACTACATCGTTTTCTTTGCGCGAGTATTTTGTACACTGTTGTGAAGTCTGGGATTCGCTTGGGAATGGTCTTGCCCAAAGACTGCAACGTTTACAAAACAGATCACAAACTGCAAGAATGAAGCAGGTCAATCAGAGGTCGGAATGCGCAAACTGGGCTGGACCACCCTTGCGGAACAAAGGACCAAGTAAAAGCTAAATTAATGTTTAAAGTTTCGAATGGCCTAGCATCAACAAGGTTACAACCACTTTTCAAGGATTCACATGCCTCGAGCAGTAACTACAGGTTGAGAAACACAACAAACAAATTTTCTCTTCCTTCTGTACCCAAAACGGAATTATTGAAAAACAGTTTTACTTATAGTGGTGCTAAGTTATGGAAAGCACTACCAGAGGAAATACGAAGCAGCAAATCGCTTATATCCTTTAAACGGAAATTGTAGATATCACTCCTTTGGCCTTTACTATCATTTGTTTTTCTTTAAACATTCTTTATCTAATATATTATACTTACATTATTTTTTTAAGATATATTTTTAAATCGTTTCTATTGCGGCACGCCCCTAAYGGAAACCAGCATTCGTTGACTTAGGCTAGCGTGTGTAAATAAAGTTGACCTTACCTTTACCTTACACAACTCACTACCATCTCGCCCACGGGCTAATTTTGTTCTTGCTTTTTCGAGAAAGTGTTCCATGGCCGACATTTTTACGCTTTGAATTCCTGGTTATTTTTACTTGAAAAACGAAAGATAACTACAGATAGTTCAATAAAATATCAAGTTTAGAGAAATTTACTTTGGATGTCTTTCATAAAAATCCAAAGTTTGGATATTTCCGAACTTTTTAAGGACAAATCAACACTATGAAACAAACTTTTAAAAAGGGGAGCAAAATATTAGGTTACTTTTACTTCTTTTACGTAACGATGTTTGGTTATCCATATGAATAGTTTTATGTTTTAGATCAAACGTATTTTCACCGCAAAGAAAATTTAAAAAAATAAATGCTTTGGTAGCACCAGAGAGACAATAAGCTGCGAGGCCCTCAACAACAACACCAAATGTGTTAGTTAAGAAAATATGTTTTAAAATCCTAATTGTTCATTGAAATATTTTATTATATACTTTTATTATATATTAATATTACTTTCATATAAGCCTTAACTTTTCTTCCTGAAGCTTAAAAACTAAGGTTACTAGATTTTGAGATTCCATTGTACCAGTTTTCATCTGTTCTAAAAAGATGTGAAAAAGATGTGGAAATCACGTACGACAAAATTTTTCGAAAGAGGAAGTTTACATCCAGTTAAACTTGACAAAAACAACCGAGATAAATTTAGTAATGTTCGTGTAGCACTCCACAAATAGTTTCAATTAAGCTGACATGAATATTGGAATTATAAAAATTCGTTTAATTTTACGATTCTTATTTTTCTATTATCATATACAAATAAACGGAAATTATTTCGTGATTGTCAATTTTATATTAAAGCAAATTTTTACTGTGCGACTACACCAACCATAGCCTGCTGTGCAGACGTTTTTAGTGTCGGCTCGTTCCTTTCCCTCCCCACAAACGTCTGCTCAAACTAGCCACAAATTCCTTTCCCTTAGATTGACCAATCAGAGCGCGCCTCTCGAAATGCTGGAAGTTGACATTCACCTTGGCTTACTTTCGATATCGACGAAGGCTTTAAAAAAGTCTGCGAAATTTAGATAAGCGACCTTAATTCGTATCAGAAAGAAGCCTTAAGATGCTTCGTCTCTGAAAAACGAGACGTTTCGTAAATTTGTCATATATTTTTATGTTTTCATTTACGACTCCCTCACACGAACATGAAAAGCGGTTAGATTCAGCTCCTACAACTTTCTTATGAGTCCTATTCATATAGATTTGGAAATTATTAATATTTTATACGAGGATTTACGAACTTTGGACGATACGTTTTCACAGGAATTTGAATGTGGGCAGTTGTTTGCATTATTTGTTGGCGTTGCTGATTGGTCCGATTTAACAAAGGGAAAGGAATGTGTGGCTAGTTTGAGCAGACGTTTGTGGGGAGGGAAAGGAACGAGCCGACACTAAAGACGTCTGCACAGCAGGCTACACCAACCAAGGCCACCCAGACACATTTTCATACAAAATGGCCAATCACGATTGAATATTTAAACAACAAAATCTCTTTTTCTCTCTAAAGTCATATATATATTTTACTTTATACGAGTGTGTGTGTATAATCAGAAGTGAACAAGAAACAATTTAAAATCCAGAATTCACTACTTCAGCTGTTATGCAGCGTTAAAAATGTGAGATGTGAATTTGATTTGAAATTTGTTTGGGTGGCCTAGGTTGATGTAGTCGCACTGTAAACGACTTCTTGGATTTTTCT